ATTTTCCTTTTGGCTCTTCATCGGCTGCGCACTGTCTTCAATGTGTCATAGAAATCTTTTGTTTGTCAGCGTTCAGCGCAAGGTTCCACCTGCTTTTCTTTCACTGTTCATCGTGCATATTGGAGCTGACGCAGCTCTTCAGCTACCTGCCTTCGAATCTGACGAAAATTACTTCTCTTCACCGCATGTTAGGGTCAACCTCGGACGCAACGAACGCTGCCTTTTTCGCTCGTATTGGTTTGTTGAACCAGTCGGGCCGCTTACAATTTGTGCAGCCTGTCGTGTCCTCTGCAGCACTGATCATCAGTTTCTTCAAGTGGTCCCATAGGACGCTGACCGAAGCCAAGGAGTGGAATTCGCCAAGGGGGGGTCGTCATAACATCCTCCAGCGCTCATCGCTTTTCTGCACTGGAAAGGACACGGATGTTGTATTTCTTCCGATTGGTACTCGATGGAAAGTACGACGATTTAAGGACATTTATGTAGAACTTTGCGCACACCAGCTTGTGGTCGACCTCTCATTTAGCTCTACGCACTACCCGCGTTATACGCATGTCACATTAACGTACGATGGTATAATCCAACAAATGAGCATGCCTGCTCAGTCGATGGGCCCATGTAGCAATATCGCTGGCACACGGAGCAAGTTGAGTGTGCTTGATCGTCAGGCCATGTGTGACACACAATGAAAGTAAGCGCTATCTCTACGTTTCCATTGACTACCTCAATCCTTTGCGGTCCAGTAACAGCCCACATCGTGACAGTACACTCGACACGTGCATTAAAGTCAGATAGCAGGAATAGTCGATCACTTATTAGCATAAACCTTATAACAGAGGCTAATTGTGAATAGAAATGATCCTTCATGTCATCAGGATAACTCGTGCTAATAAATGTTGCGGACTTACCACGTCTGAAGCGAATACGTAGTGGTATCTACCGTGTGCTGATATCAGCCGGCTCCCAGGTCAGACGGTGAGCAATTGCAAATCCGACGCCGGGTTCACGTGGTGCTGTGTCGGGATTTTCAGTCCAGTCGAAAGTGTACCCGGCACCATCCTCTCGCAATTTACCTTGGTCAGCCAGTCGGGTCTCACTCAGCGCTGCGATATCAATGAGACAGCGCGCAAGCTCCATGGCGACTAATGTGGTTCGTTGCGTAGGTCGATGATTGCAGTCCCGATCGTGCGGTGTGCGCATATTTCAGTATCCGACCTTGAGCGTTTTTCCATATTTACGGATGGCTGAGATGTGCGTGGATTTGCTTTGAACGGGGGTAGCAATGAAAAAGTTGGCTGGGGCGAAATGGTGACGGGGACAGACGAGTGCGGAGTGCTAAGAAACCTGGGAAAAAACAAGGGACCAGTGATGAATTAGTTTCCCTTAGGCACCCTGCTGTGTGTGCAAGCTAGGGTGACACCTAACCCTTAATTGCCCGACAAACGACGTCGGCAGAGGGTGCTGTTTTCACTATTTTTGTCTTTGCTTCCTATGACGTCCGGGAAGTGGTTACACGGGCTAGTGGTAGATAACGTACGCAAAATGCGAGGACATATGCAAATACAAGTAGAAATATAAGTATTGTAGTCTCAGCACAGAGGTGCTGGTTCAAGTCGTAGTGCAAAGTGCGATTTATTGCCAAAGTGGGCAGTACAAAGTAAAACTAAGTAGTGGACGCATGGTGTGATGCAATACGCTCTGGTTTTTGGTGATTACAAAGGGTGTAGGTGTGAATCAAGATAACAGTTCTAAATTAAGTCAGAGGGGTTGTCACCAACGATAGATTGCCACAGATACTGGTGGAGCGAGACAACTAATTTCTCTGATTATAACCTGAGTTAATACAAAAGTAACAGTACGGTGAACTTATCGTTAGTGAGCGTTGTACATGCAGTCTCCCGTGTGCTAACTTAAGCTGGCAACTGATGGAGGTTGTAGCGCGAGGACTCGACGTTGTGTTAACTGTAGTCTCTGCCGCATTTTAACCTTGAACCGGTCCAATCGTTTACTATCCGAGGTATTTGTGTATTCCCAAGAATACATCTTGCTCTAATGTAAGTCTTGGCGAGTGATAAGTACACGCACTCGCTGATGGACTCTTTGTGACGACCACAGCAATAAAACAGCAAATAAGTACCCATTGTAAAATACCCGGTTTTCGATGAGGTATTTAAACTGCTTAGCGAATTTCCTAACAGTTGTGTCGCTCAACCGTTGACAACCGTATCCGTGTACTCTGCTGTGGCGACAAACTAAGGTACGAAGGATCAGTTGTTGGACTTCTCGCGTGCAGCCACACGGCATTCTGCAACAATGCTCACTGTGTGCTTGTTCCTTTCCGTTTAAATATTCGAAGGCACTAGCATACAATCGCATTTGACCTGAAGTTGTCACTTCATCTGAAGATTGGCTCTTTCTGCTCAAACTTCTAGCAGGTGCATCTGCGTTTCTACCCATAACCCCCATAATAGCTATTTTTCGTGAGCTCAGCTACGTTGAGTATGACGCACGAACAACAGGAAGCATGGCCATACTCTTTCTCATGACTTACATGCGAATCAGATCATGGAGTATTTACATTATGATAATTGTTTGTGGATTACCCAAGTTGTCCACTTTTCACGGGTTTTCCAGAACGAAGTTTCTTGTATGGTCCGACGTGGTCATGTACTCCAGATTGCAAGTTTTACCCCAGTGCGGGTAAGCCTTATGTTTGGGTACTGTAAGCAGCAAAGTACTTGGAAGCTTAGAACAACGCGTATTCACTTGGCGGAAAACAGCACTGGAAGGGACTGGTTACCATACTCGACACCATGGTTGTTGCAGAGATCCTTATCCTTAATTGCACTCAGTTCTTGACCCAAGTGCAAAGTACAAATGAATCTTGAACACTGCACCCGACAAGCACTTGGATGTCTGGAGCCAACGCGGTTTCAACGGTATATATATATATATATATATATATCCAAGACACGCCGTCAAACCCACATTAATTATTTGGTGCAGCCACCTCACACCGGTTATGGATCACAAGCAATGATGCTATACAGGCAGTCGGCGCAAGTCCACAGTACACACTGGCCAAGTTTCGCAACCTTACAATGCAACGCGGGCAGTCGCATAATAAACCAGACTTTTGACGGAGGGAAGTATGTCATACCGGCGCCACAACTGCTTCAGCTTGAAGACAGCAAGACGAGCCCTTAAGATACCCATCGAAATCTCTACTCCAACAGCTCCACCGGCAGTCATACGGCCTACCAGATAGACAAAGGTCTCCACAACTTCCAGTGTCTCACCACCAAAAGAGTGCATTTGTCAATCTCGAGAAAGGGATTTGCACTTGCATGGGGAACAGCACATTCCTATACTTTGAAACTTCGATCTCCAAGTGGTTAAGTGGTAGTTGGACTGCCTGCAGACCGTCACATAGCACGACGTTATTGTTAGCGTAGTCCAAATCGAAAAGTTGACTGTCTGGGAGGAGCTCAACACCAGCGCTCTAGAAATCTTCCAGAGCAGTTTTGAAGATATTCTCAATAAAAAGATTTCAAGAGATTGCTTATAAAATGCGCGTCATCGCTTCTCATACACAATGTGGGCGATTGCTCGTTTGGAACCATTGACTGTTTTTCAGCTTCCTGGCAATAGATTGCAAATAAAAGCCTAAAGCGAACTGTGCAGCAACGAGTGGCACATGTTCCCTAAGATAACTCTCAACGCTGTCCAATACAACACATGTAGTTGTCACGAAACAAGTACCCGGGAATATGGACACATACTAAATTCACTACTTAATGGGCGACTAACGAATAAATGAAATGGTCATTCAGAATGACTTGTGCCGTTTGAGTTGATCGGTTTTAGCACCAGAAGTAGGTGGATTTACGAATGACGACAATGGCGTTCGCACCTTTGGCCGAAAATGGATTTGGAGTAAGAACCGTAGTGAGTCAAATGTGTCGTCTAGTTCCCCTAGAATCCAAACCAAATCGGAGCAGCGATCACAAATCTGTTATTTATGGGTCGTGTAATCTTTGATATTGTAAATATATTTGGTACAGCGGTTTTTCTTATTGTCCCTGACACCTTCTGGGACCACTCTATACCTGCATCCTCTAACGCTGCACTAATTATCCGTTGTCAGTTTGATTATCGCCGTACTAATCAGTTCGCTTTCAATTCACTATTCCTGCACCATCTTCCGTCCAGTTGATTAGCCACCATTCTACTCTGTGTCATCCGTCGGGATTCCTTGATACGCATGTGCTGTTCACTCGTTGTTTTTCGAGCCAACCTGCTACCTTTGTGCTCGTAAGCAAACTGTTCTTCGTTCACGGTACCCGTAATCGATTCTGCGCTTTCTCATAGCCCATGTTCCCGTGACTCATCGATCCCATTCACCCAAGCGACTAGCTACCACCACAGATTATCCGGACGCGTTAACGACTATTGGATACCAAATATCTGGCTTCAACCAACTTGTCATACGCTCATGTGGAATTGACGTGGTTTGCCTCCCTTCATCACAGTGGCGCATTCGCTTCCCACCAATGTTGAAACCGATCGAGACTACGTTTGTGGCTGTAGCATCGTTTAAATGAGCTTGATTTTCCGATTCGAACTCATTTGTCATGCTCTGAGCAGCCAAGCGGAGAGATGGTTAATCCTCCAAGTGAAACCTCTATTGCCATCTGTTTCCATTGAGACAGCCAACCTCACAGTTGAAATGCATCTGAAAATGTGGGCTCCGCAATGCGACTAGCTTTCGTTTTCAAAGTGGAACAGTGTTGGTAAGCTTCATTTTATGGCCGGCAAACACAACAGTAGCTGTCCTGTGGAGCACTGGCACTTGGGTATTTGAGTTGCGACCGAGTTTGCATCGTTATAAGACTTACGGTACCGACATTCATTAAGTGTGCCACTCCCACTCGTCACTAAAAACCTTTCCCACGGACCGCAAATTACCATAGGTTGCTTTTTTGTGCTCCTTTTTTCAGGTCACGCCCGAAGATTTACAGTCTTCGAATTGTCTAGGACACCTGCGTCGCAACTCATGATTCCCGATTTGAATCAGACTGTGGCGGATTACTTTTCTGAAAAGTACAGCATCGTACTACAGTATCCTGAACTTCCATGCGTGAAGGTGAACAACAACCGTGATGTGTTTTTCCCGATGGAGTTGTTGCACATTCTACCTTTCCAGGCGCCGAATTCTAGCAAAGCGGAAGTTGCCGCAGCTGTCATCCGCCTTTCTGCGGTACAGCCGCGTGACCGATTCAAGGAAATACAGCAGTTTGTCAACGCAGTGGTCCGAAAGTATGTTTGGACACCCATACTCACCCACTTACTCGTTAATTACTGTATCATCATAGAACTTACCGGTGCAATAATTTATCGGTCTACGCACGCGAGATGTTCGAAGCTTTATGGTTTGCTCTCATTACGTTCCGTCTAATCACGCATTTTCACTTATTAATCAAATGTGTTTTATTGGAATGCGGCGCATTACTTTCAGCTGGCACTTAACAAGGCATTCATGCATCTACTTCACTACAAAAATCTATCCATTATTCATATGTTAGAACAACTGGATAGAATTGGATGCACCTCCTTATGTGTTCACTCCTAACCCATTTCTTACAGCTCCCATGTTTAAAGTGTCCCGTTGGACCGAACTGACGCTATGACTACTTGCTGCTGGTCTTTGTTAGCAGCGCTGCCCGCAACCTTTTGTAATTTGATTTTTGTAAGACAGGCTACGAAATAAAACATCGGCGGCAAACATTTATGCATTGTTGCTATCGATCCTGAAGTTGTCCCGTTTCCTTTCCATGGACACTGAGCCAGACTGACCCATCAGATCTTCGCCTCATCCGGACATCTAAGAATGAGTTGTTGCACTCAGGTTACAGCGTGCTTACTGAGAATGTATCACTAGTCTTTCTGAGCGCAGGGGAACATATGCGAATCGAATATATCGCACACGAGCGGTCAGATGTGGTCTACTGGCAGTGGCTAGAGCAACCGCTTTTCAACTTCATGACCCTGACCTATATATATATATATATATATATATATATATATATATATATATATATATATATATATATATATATTCAACACTATACCAATTACGATATAATTGCTTGTGCCACAACACATAAGCAGTAAAAGATAACATGAAAGGGAAGACAACTGTTAGGGTAAAAGAGTCTCACAGCAAGTGCGCCATTGCGTACGGTCCTTGGCCATATCCTCCAGCGCTTGCAACCAGGTGTGCTTGGGGTCCTTTGGTCCCCAACCCGGGAGTCGGAAACGCCCGACAACAGTCAGTTTCATCGTTTGCGCCTTAACACTTTGGATCCAAGTTTTACATTGCCCTTCTTTTCGTCGCTTCCAGGCTACACCTGTGCTCGCGAATAGGGCTCGTCATGGTAGCCGCTGGGTAGGCATGCGAAGCACATGGCCAAGCCAGCGAAGCCTCCGCATTGAGCTGATGCTATCAATCGATCGGCGGAGTTTGTTATATCTGAAGACTCGCCAACGGATTTCCTCATTACTGATGTGGTGATGTCATCGAACACCAGCAATGCTTCGTAGGCAGCGGTGGTCGAAGACTGATAGCCGCTGAATATCACTTTTGCGAACGGGCTAAGTCTCACAGCCTTACAGCAGAATCGCTCGTACCGTAGCATTGTAGACTCGTCTCTTGAGATCGAGGCTGAGATCACGACGAGGCCACAAGTGACGAAGCTTAGCGAAAGCGACTCTAGCCTTGGAGACACGCAGAGAGATCTCATCCGTCAAATCGCCAATACTAAGACAACTCCCAAGCTAAATGAATTTATCGACCACTTCCAACGGATGCCCCGAAAGGGTGAGAGATGGACATGCGCTTGGCCAGTCCTGTAATAGGACCTTACATTTGGAAGGGGCAAAACTCAACCCAAATTGGGTGGCAGCCATCTCCAGTCTGAGCAGCACATTCTGGGCGGCTTGGGAGGACTCGCAAATCACAGAGATGTCATCGGCGTACTCTAAGTCCCGAAGGCGGTCACCAGGGAGTAGTTCAATCCCGCAGGACTCAGAGTTATCCAGGGCAGTATCCAGGATCTCGTCCATGGCGCAGTTGAACAAGAATGGAGAGGTTGGGAAACGCTGTCTAACATCGCTGATGATACTGAAATGGGGCGAAATGTCTCCGTATGCTCGCATGCCGCCCGAAGTTTGATGGTAAATAGCACGGAGAATGCTGATGTACTTCTCAGGTACTCCCCTCTTCAGTAAGCAGTCCCAAAGAGCCACTCTGTCAACAGAGTCAAAAGCGGCTCGAATTTCCAAGAATATGACTATAGTTGGTCGACTGAACATATGACGATGTTTAACTATCTGGCGGATCGTAAAGATGTGATCGACGCAACCGCGACCCGGGCGGAATCTAGCTTGTCGTTCACGTTGGTGCTGTTCCCGTACGCAACTGAGCCTACGTAAGAGTAGGGTAGTGAGCAGTTTGGATGCCACACAAATGAGACTGATGCCACGATGGTTGAAGCAAATGGTCCGGTCTCCTTTTTTGTAGACAGTCACAACATCCGCTAAATTCCAGTCGGATGGAATAGTTTCAGTAGTCCAAATCTGATGTAAGGGAGATGTCAGTTCGCGAGTAAGAGCTGGACCTCCATCTTTGAACAGGTCATGAGGAAGTTCATCTGGGCCAGGTGACTTGTGGCGCTTTAGTATTCGAAGCTCATTGGAAACCTCAGCCTCTGTCGGTGGAGAAACATCCACGCACCAGGGAGCACTGTGAACCCCGGAAAATAGACTCAGTTGCGCTGCTGGCCAGTTAAATTGATCTTTAAAATGCTCTGCCGATCTTACCAGACGACGGTGACGACTGTGAATTAGTTCACCGTCATTTTCACGCAAATCCTCACTCACTGTTAGTCTTCTGCCTCCCGTGGAGCGAATAAGTTGGAAGAGTTTGCGGGAGTTTCCTGATGAAGCTGCCCGCTCCATCTCGACGACGCGCTGTGTCCACCAAACCTCGCGATCCTTCCTGAGGAGCTGTCTGAGTTCAGCACCTGTGGCTCTGCATAGTGCATTGTACTCAACTCCGGTGGGAATTGTTCGACGACTTTCTATTAATTGAAGAGACTGTGCGGAGATCCAATGACTAACAGCTTGTCTAGTGAAGCCACAGACCAGGGTAGCGGACTTTCGTAAGGCTCTCTGGATCTTAGCCCGATGTGTCTCAACGTCGGAGGATAGAGAACGTAGATTGGAGGCTAATGTGTTTTGAAATGCACCGAGAACATTTAGAACGGCGAGCTTGTCTGTGTCAAACCTTTTCCGGCAACGCTGTTGGGTGCCTCCAAAACGCAGAACGAACTTAGCAGACACGAGCGCATAATCCGAAATCAACTAAGTGTTCTAACTTGACTTGCAATCCGTTATGCAGCCACGCCAACGGTAAGTAACAGCGATGTGGTCAATTTGCGTCCAAGCTTGACCAGGCGCCAGAGGTCGCCAGGTGGCTCGTTATCGCCAGGAACGTCCGAAATTGGTGCTAGAGAGGAACATGCCGTAGTCGGCACACAGTTGCAAGAGTCGATCGCCGTTGTCCGTCCTGCGAGTACCGTTGCTGTGTTGACCCCCAAGTTCGCGCTCATGAACCTCTAGTCTACCTACCTGCGCATTTAGGTCCGTGCGACGTTTCTTGCGGAGGAGGTCGGTGAGTTGGCGGTAGAGCTCGTCTTTAGCTTCGTCCGGGTTGCAGTCAGTTGGAACGTATGCCGCCACAATGAATAAGCAGCGCCTACTGGTCCCGTGGCTGGAAAGTCGCACTGAGCTTTCCAAACGGACTGCACAAAGACGACTGTTGACCGGGAACCAGTCAATGATCGTTACCTCAGCACGCGCGCTTAACGCAACTCCTACGCCGGCGCAACCAGCGGCTGCCGCTGTCGCATCTCCAGATAAGCGCAAGGTGAATGTGCAGTTGGAACTTGGGGAGGGTGAGGGCAATTGCAGCGTTGTGCTGGAGTCTTGTAAACGGGTTTCGGTTAGGCAGCAAACCTCGATTGAGAGGGTTTCCAAGGTTCGCACAAGAGCAGCTTGTGAACCAATCTGCATGAGCGTTCGAACATTGAACGTAACTAGCTTGAAGAGCTAGCGAGGTGCAATAAAAGCCTTGCTGTTGGTATTGGAATGTGTGCGATCGGTTTTGAGCGGTTCATTGAGGAGGCCAGAGGTACGGTTTTTATTTGCAATGCACTTTTGGAGACTCGAAATTGAAGACGGTTCCCAAGAACAGGAGGATTGTATAAACGTGGAATGAAGAACGTGGTTTGCAGTGCGGTAGAGTGAGGTATAGCATATCCGGCCGCCAGCACCTCGGCCAAAGAGAGAGAATTCAGAGAGCGAGAGACGTGAGCAGCGAGTTGTAAATCCATCATTTCATGTGTTGTTTAGGCATACAGCTTCCCGGTTGCCCAGGCCGAGGAAGGGGTTAACTTAGGGGGCCCCACCCGGAGTCTTTGGTCATAAGGACCTGACTAGCAATGCAGCGGGGCGAATTCAGTGTATCGCACCCATTGGGAGTCGGTGACCGATAGCTCGGTTCATACGCCTTTCGTTTGGCTGGCTGTCAAACAAGGACCCAATACTCCCAGTAATTCAGCGTCAGACTGAATGATTACATTGCTCCGTCAAGGTGAAGCAAGGGGCAGTGACTTTATTCAATGGCGAGTCACGTCCGCCACGTTGCAGGGTTGTTAAACGGACATATGTGGTTTTTTATAAGGAAAACGCTTGCCAGACGAAAACCCACCACGTCCTGGAACACTGCCACCGGACCTTTCGCTGGGACGGGATTATCCCGATCCACCCAGCTGGCACTACGAGGAGGTAATTCGGCAAGCCAGCCACGCTGACGTATGTGCACATCAGAAATTTTTCCATGCGCTCAGTTTACCCTGGTCCTCCGTAACGTTAACACATGATGCGGACAAAACCACACACATGCACACCTCTGATGGCTTTGGGACCAATCACTTAGCTTGGTCACTCAGACCATCTAGGCTTTTGAACGCATACCGTATATTACCGAATATAAGCCCGTCCATAGATAGGCCAACAGTGTAACTTTGAAACATCAAATTTGTCCAAACTTGTATGTCCCCGTATTAGCTGACCCCTAAGAAATCAGCAAAAGAGAAATAAAATTGATTCCCAACGATTTTGACGTCATCAGTACCTGCTCTCATTCGAGTACGTCCAAATGAAATCTGCTCTATTATTGGACAGTTACGGTGACCGCAATATGTTATATTCGCAGTTAATGGGGCGTACGGCCTTCAGAACAGACTTGCACCGCATTGGACATTGTATTGAGGTTAAGTCACATAAAACAGACAAGACAGCCGGCACTATAGGGTAAGCTGAGATGGCCTGCGTCGCATAGTCTGGGGCCTCATGCATATGAACCCCAGTAGAGCAGTGTGAGAGTGAAGTTCACGCTCAGCGGTTTAGGACAACCTTGTACTTGTAAGGCACCGGATGGCCGCGCTTTTGTTTCGCTACTGCCATCCGTCGCAAACGTCAAATGTGTATTCTACCGAGAATTTTCGACACAAAAGTAATATGTCCAGTTTTAGACACTTCAAATCCCCGTCTGGAATACCGTCCGTCACTAACGGTTGGTTCTAAGGGAAGATAGGGGCAGTGGTGCGCAGTGAACTCCTGGGTGCATTTTACATGTGACTGTTTCCAAATGCCGTATAGCTTTTTTATAAGCCGACCCCCTCTACAGTAGCGAAAAACTGTCCAATAGTCATCGGGTTATATTCGGTAATGTACGGTACTTCTATCAGTTTACGTTCGATCATCGCTATCTTCGTAGTTTGACTCATGTCTGGTGGGAACACCGAGAGTTCAGCATGGTGTGTTTGGTGCAAGATGAGCGTGTGAATCGCTGACCACCTTTATATCATGCAGCAGGCTACGATGGCTGGTCCATGTGTTGCGCATTCTAGCCCATCTACTTCCGCGACGTGCGTTGTTTGCTCGCCTGGAGTGGATGGAAGAAGAGTAGCCGAGGCCAACCGATGACTTAGTCACGATGTTCGAACTGCCTCACTTCGAATTTCGCGTCCGATGGTGTCTCCCGACGGTCGCAAGGACGACGAACATGTTTGATTGGTTACGTTTGTTGACATCGTAAAGAGCCGAACTTAGTGGCGTTAGTGTTGTGCACTGATGTGGCCCTCTCCTCCATCTTTTCTTCCCTCTCTAACCACGTTCTCACACTTGATACTAATCAGCATACTGCCTTTTTCTTTTCTTAATGTATTCCATAGTGTTTACTGTCTCATTTGCCCGAGAGGAATATGATGTTAGCGTTTGCGATGCCCTGCTGTACTCTTGGTGAAATAACTGTGTGCATCACGAGAGGCTTGAAATAAAGCAAACCCATGCTCGTGCTCACGTTTCTTCCGCCATACTGTGGAACTTATTGGCGAATTATTTGCTCTATAACAGCTTGGTCGGCTTCTCTTTGTGTGCTCATTAGGTATCTTCGCATGTGGCCCATGGTTGCCCTACCTTCTTGTCAGGTAGCCCACTCCGTAACACCATCAAGCGGGGCGGTCTTGTGTGTTATCATTGTCCTCATATTTCTTCACCCAGCACGTAACCTGGTACGGTCTGGTTTCTGCTGTTACCCTCCACATTTGTAAGAACCGGAGATCTTCCCCATCGCATGCGATCACTGGACCAGTTTGATTTATAGCATGGCAGCTGAGTTGTGTAACTTTGTGAATAAGCGAGACAATTCATAGTCCTCTGTGGTTGAAGCCGTACCTTCCGCCACACCTCTCTAAACGATCTTATTCAGATCGTCCATTTCCCTAACCTCCTTACCACAGGAGCTGTTGGTCGAATTGTGACTGAGGCTCCTAATCCATCGTATTTGGTACTTGAATCTTGGGATATCTGAATAGCTTATTGACCACATCTACATCGAATGTACTAAACAGACTGATACTCATGATACGCCGAGTTTACTTCACAATTCATGTGCCATTCGGTTACATCATTGGGAACTCCATTGGGCTTTTACTTCTCTGTGTACCTGGATAAAAGAGTCCCGCCTCCGGCGAACGGCCGTATGTGTAACGACGCGGTTCGCTGTTCCATTCGGAGTCCACTTACTTCAATACAAATAACCTTACATGCATACACTTTCACCGCTTTCTCTTTCCTAACCTAGGAAGCATCCTGTACTGACCACATACGGCGTTGAGGTCATTCCAGCCCCGGTACAGGTGCCTGGGCGGGTTTTGCCCACACCGACGGCCAACTTTGGCCGCGAAAACGTCCAGCTAAAGCGTGGCTGTTGGGAAGTCCCATCGTACTATCTCCCTACGCCTGGTAAGCAGGCTACTCGATGTGCAGTAATCTCCGTTCCTCCGCATCGTGTAAGTCGCCTTGTTTGTCTGTCGAAGTGGTTCTGTTTACACTTCTGTGTACACCAGTACGCGTCCTTGATCATCGTGGCTGCCTACACTGGAGCATAGTTTCACATACTCTGAGCTTTAACATCTCTCTATGATTTGCCCTATTTTTCCTTCATCGTCGCCTATCCGGGCATCCACCTCATATACGCCCTGCGGCTTAGGTCACCATACATGGCATGTAGATTAACGACTGTATAGTTCCCATTTATTGCTGATCAATTCAAGTGGATGGGAGATAGCGCCTGGATAAAGCAAAGCGTGAATGTTGCCCGAACTAATCTTCATGTATTGTGTATCTACATTAAACAAAATCTGGGCAGCTATCAAATTTGGTCATTACTAAAATGATGCTACATGTATGTCTAAAGAACTTGAAGGCGCTCTTTGGTTGCGACGGTATTTTACTAGCCATTTTCTATGTTCAGGTCTTTTACACTGTCTATGCCTATTGATCGACGCGTACTGTTCATCTGATCTACTTCTGCGCTGTATACTACCGCGTTCAACTTATCCTTGGCTGCATCAGTTCCCCATTATCCGTCTGGTTCGCGCGAGTTTCTTCTACTCGCATGGGCCTCACCTGATCTGCTTTCTTCTCGCTAGGTACCCGTCACCATCGTTTGCTCCCTAGACCAGCTGACATCGTTGATGCGCACGCGACTGTTCGAACCAATCGGCTTTTCTTTTGTCTGGAATCAGGTTGCGCTTCGTTAATCCTTGGCCGAACCAATTCTGGTCCGTCTGTGGCTCGTGCAGTCGTGGTCATTTCGCGTCGTCCTTGATTTGCTGGCCTCTACTCTGCCTACTCACCCAAACGACCACTTGTCGTAGACCCTGTGTCGGGGGCCTTATTCTGGTCATCGCGTTGGCCACAATTCGTGGGGCAGCACTCGATCGCAACTTTTCACCGAGCTTCGGACGCGTTAATCCACATCCACTTTTGGCACATGATCCCCTGGGGGTTTGCCCAGCTAAATACATTACTGAGATTTCCGCGGTTGATAACTAGTGATTGGCAAATGAGACAGCCTAACCTGAAATGTAATTTCGAAGTGATCAACCAACTGAACTCACCCACCATACGTACCTTTTTCTGAATTTGTATATGAAAACCTGCACAACACACTACTGTCACTAGCGCATTTACCATGCAACAGCGTTCAAATGTTTGTTTCTCACCTGGTACGAGGGTATTTAAGCTCGCTGATTCAACCAATATTTTACCGTTTAACCCACCTAGCTTTGTTTACATTTCTAGTGTCCATCCATTCGTTCATTTACCACTTACGTGTTTTCCCACCGGACTTGCAAGAGTGCTACCGTATTCCTTCGTTGCTTAAAAGCCGATCCACGCTTTAGGTACCAACAGCAGCTGTTGAGGGCATCCAGTTGTAGATTTGGCCGTCAATGTGACTGCTAACAGCCGCGCCATTACCTAGCGGCAACAGCGCTAATAGGCCTATATCTAGGAACCACAACTGATCCTGAGCCGACCTAAATTCCTTCAACATGCGCTTCACCATCGTGAACTTCGGAGTAACTTTGCCTTTTAAAGACGCACGTCGCTCCTGGCTTCGCTCTGCTTTCTCTTGACAATTCTTATCCTCAAACCCCATTCCTTGACTCCGTTCATCGCGTGTGTTTTAAAGCTGCCTTCGTACTGCTACTATTCTTCGCCTACGAGACTAAGATCGCCTGATTGCTCAGTCACGCGCCCAACCAACCGACCGGATGCAGAAGGCCAAGGCTCGGTAAACAGGGAGTTTATTCTACACGATAGGTCAGTTCTATTTATTGGGGAACGAAACATACTAATTTTGGAAGCGTTTGGCTCTCAGCCAATGTGAGTTAATTCCGTCCCACGGATTTCCATATTTGGCAGAATGGTTCGCCTCCGTTGACTCGGGCTTGTATTTGCTGGCCAATCAGTTTGCACCGGGTTCCCAAATTTGGCAAGACAGTCGAAGGTCGTTCCACGCTCGTGCTGGTGACCTTCGCATGCAGCATACAGCTCACGTGTTCCGCGGTAAGCCTGTGCGCGACCTCGTCTCTGGACATTGATTCTGCTTACCTCTCTATTGCATATAATTGTACCCTCGCAGATCCCTTGAGAATACTGACAAAGGAAAATGCCACCGACTGAGGCTTTGAACAGCAGACTGCCTTTGAAGAAATTAAAAGGCGCCTCGCCTCTACACCAATGCTGTCCTACGTTCATCTCTACGGACGCGTTAAACATCGGTTTAGGAGCGGTCATGTCGCAGATGCACAACGGAGAGGAAAAAGTGATTGCATATGAGGGGCCGCCTCTGTTATAATTGCGTAACGCCTGATAAGATTGTCGCTGGCACGGCTGGAGCACGCCTACGATAACGGCTTGTAACGCTGGCCAATCGAACGAGTTACGCTGACCTGATGACGTTAGCATAGCCGGTGAGACGGAAATTGAACGGGCGTGAGAACGATCCTAGCCGCACATATTCGGGTAGACGCTGTGTCCTCGGAAACGGACGCACACGAGAGGGGGTTGCGATAGGCGCGCGCTAATAACTTAGACGCGAAGGCTGGCCAGCTAACAACGCACACATAACTACGTGACCCGACCGGCTCCCAAGTAAGGCGAAGAGGAAAGAAAGACAGGCGGTCCTCTGAAGGCTCTTTTATGACCAACAAGGGGCGAATCACAGCCATTGCTATGGCTCATTAAGTTGGGGAAAATGTCTATCATGACGAGGTGGTAGTTTGTAAAAGACCATTGTCAAAAGGTGCGCAGTTGGGCAGCGTCTCGGAGTGGCTGAACGCTGCTGCGTTGTGGGGAGGAATTGGACCTCGCTTTCCACAGCCATTCTGCCGGAGTTTCTGGCGTGTTTTTGCGGGGATTTTTGACGGGCCCGCAACAATATGCTTCTAGAAAATTATCCCTTTCATAGGTTTCATACTCCGCCGGTGAAAGGGTGGTCCTCGCCTGTTTCTGTGCCTGTTACAAATGGCACCTATTGCTGTTTGGCTGCAGATTTACATTGCGTACAGATCACGCTGCTGTAACTACCCTATTCAGTCGAAGAACCAATGGTCACAAGCCTCTGCGAATTAACCGCTAGTATGCGCGTTTACTGAACTATGATTTTCAAATCACATTCCGCCCTAACTCCGAAAACCATATGGCAGATAGCTTATCACGTCTTCCATTGGACGATTCCGATAAGAATGAGGGCGATGAAGAAAAAGTCATGGTTTCCGCTTTACATTCAAGTGACGTTTCCGCCATAACTAAGCAAGTGCTTCAAGAAGCTAATCAAAGTGGCCCAAATTTACAAGCCGTTTGCCGCTGTCTCTCAAGGCTGGCCTCGCTACACGAAGGTCAATGGTGAACTGCGGGCTTTTTATGTTTTACGGCACGAGTTAGCGGTGATTGATGGTTGCCTTATGCGGAGATCGAGATTCTTCGCTCCACAGAGACTAACGCCAAAAATTACCCAATGAGCACACGAGGGACATCCGGGTATCGTACAAACGATGCGCAGACTAAGAATACTTTTGCTGGCCGAAAATGACAGAGGCGTGTGTCCGGTCTTGCGATGTGTCAGAACGTCGACAAGGACTCTAAGCCGATCGGTGAACCCATCCAACCTATGTTTATCCAATGCAACCTTGGTGGAAGATGGAGATTGAAATCATGGGGCCACTCTTTTCTGCACCGCATCACCAGAAAAACTGTTTAGTAGTCACGTGCTTTTACAGTAAGTGGCGTGCGATTCATTTTTGTGGCGAGGTGAACACTTCAACCGTTATAAGGTGGCTGAAGCGTCTGTTTGCTAGCTTCGGACTTCCCGAAGAACTTGTGTTGGACAACGAACCACAATTCACAAACTACGAATACTGTATTATAGAGCAAGTAGAAATGAATTCAGTACAACTCTCTCGAAATACGTTGAAAAACGTTACAAAAATTGTCAGCCGTGAATATCGTTATGGTTCTCATGTAACGTAAAATATCTGACTTACGGTTTTGCAGGACTCACAAATGTGACATGCCATCGTAAGTGTGCAATCGTTCTCTGAATCGAATAGTAGTAAAATATAAATCTAACAAGGTTTTGACTGCTGCACAGATGTTGCCTCCATCACATGTTAAGGAAATCTGTTCCAAATATTTACCACCCACAGTGGGAGGGAACACACTACACATCCGGCATAACAAGTTTGTATCTGTGTCCGTGTGTGCGGCATTAGACTCAGCATGGGGAAGTCAATGAGATGTAGAATACGGTAGGTCATAATGAGGTCGACTCGCTATCGACGGTTCCAGCGGACGTGAATACGGCGAAGGTAATTCCATATCAGTTATGAGCACTGGTTGGTCGCTTGTAGCCAGGGGCTCCAGGATCCGAACGTCACGCACTTGTTGTTCGTAGCTTCTTAACATCAGGTCGGGATAGAATGGGGTTGAGCGTGGTGTTATGCGTGTTGGCTGGCATATGTGTTGCGATGCACCAGTTTCAAGTACCAAATACACGAACCTTGCTTCAACCTCACCATGCGCAGGCATTAAATGCGCATCAGGCCATCGTATTCGGGTACAGTTAAAATCGCCCATAAGTAGAAAGTGTGGACGACTTATGTTGGTTCGAAGATGGAGCAGCCAATCCAAACAACGACTCAGGGGACCGCGATAAACTGCGCCCACAAGCAGTTCTCCGCGCCTGAGGCGAATGGAGCACCACAGTAGCTCACACAAACCATCGTCACTTCGGTAGGTGCTCACAAGTCTCCGACGCAGGGAAGACCGGATGTAAAGTAAGACACCACCGTGGGCATTCTTTAGTCTATCGCAGCGGAAGCACGAGTAACCATGTCTCTGCGAGTCCCACTACGTCTGGCCGCTCAGACGCAACGAAACACCAAAGCTCATTGCGCTTGTTCCTAACACTGCAAAGGTTTGTGAGGACTACTCGGAGGCCGCAGCAGGAGCCGTCGGACGTGTTTGAAGTGTGAGCAACTTTTTTATCCTGATTTACAGATTCTTAAAAACCACCCGAGAATTTACGATACGGAAGTTTATTTCCCCCTCAACAGTCCTTGTTTATAGCTCAATGACGTCAGACTCGAGCCGTTCTCGGTCTAGTGGGTCCAGATCTGATCGAACATGAATCATCAAATCATTTAGCCTACTTAGGCTGACATTTCCTACAACTTCCCGATGTGAAACACGTAAGAGCTGTCCTGTACAACCCAGCTGCCAACGGCATGATTCAGCGCACAAATCGCTCCCTAATGGAAAGTATACAGACAGGACCTTTGTCCGGTATGCATTGGGAAGATGCCGTAGTCGAAACTCTGTTTACCCACAGAAGGTCGCACCGCAGAGCGACCGATTGCATGCCAGGAAGCTACGCTCGAAGTTACACGCAACTAGTTCGGCTGCGGAAAACAGCGATCCCCACCAACTGGAGCGTCGCCGAAGTCATCATTCCTCTTACGAAAAATAATCCATACCGTTGCGTCTCGGAACGTTAGTCCGGCTAAAGGAAAGGCAGACACGTGCACGGCAGTCAGCATCATCGCGCCCCATCAGAATTACTCGGATATTAGAGCCAGGAACATATGAGCTTGCGGACGGCCGCCGAGTTAATGCCAGACAGCTTTAATCAGCCCTTCAACCGAACGCAGAGTCAATGTCCAGAAACGAGGTCCAATGCGGTGGACCAACTGTTCAATTGTCACTCATGCTGATGCGCTCATTTAGGGGGGAGGGGGGCTGATGTGTTTGCGCCTACCGCAACTTCCAGTCATGTCTGTCACGCCACGCACGCAGCCTGCACATGAGTGGATGAGCATCATCGATGGATCAATATTAAGGTCGTTTCATCGGTACTTCTCACAGTTTTTGGATAGAGCGTCTTGAGCGTGTCTTTCCCCTGTTCTGCTTTCGTTAGTGGGTTCGGCCTTAGTGATTCAAGGCCCTGCTTTCGCAGGGGCCTAGTGTGCATATTGAGATACACCAGTGTTGAGGAACCAGGTCACCAGCCCAGAACGCCCCATGCTGACTGTCCGCGACTGCTTATTCGTCTCGCATGCGAGCAGCCGAGACTTATTTACAGTTACCTTCGCCTGGAAGCGGTTCCCCTATCCGCAACCTGGGGACGCGCCCGGTTGCATACAGCTTCTTCGAACCAACCAGTATTCAGTACATTTCCGGAGGATTTTGGCAAGGCACATGAATTGCGACGTAGTATTAGTGTCCTGTGGGGAAACTGGGTTCATCGGGACTTGAGACGGCG